TGATGATTAGCTGAGTACAGATTAGGATAGGGGAGTACAGGGTGATTTAAGACGAAATAATAAGATTTCATAGTGAGTTGAAGCGCTAGTTTGTTGGGATCCGTTGCTAGGAGACGACTAGTGNAGTGAATTGTGATGATTAGCTGAGTACAGATTAGGATAGGGGAATACAGGGTGATTTAAGACGAAATAATAAGAAGATTTCATAGTGATTTGAAGCGCTAGTTTGTTGGGATCCGTTGCTAGGAGACGACTAGTGAAAACAGAGGATTCTAGTGCGTGTGCAACGGTAAACTGTAAACTATGTAAATCAGCAGTAGCGCTGTATTAATTGTCATTAAGAGAGAGAGAGAGAGTGTAACCGAAGCGACTTTAAATCCTGAATTTCGAACAAGAACCCGTTATTTTCGTCACGGGTACCCCCATACACGTGCCAATATGCACTGTACACGTACCATACGTATTTATATCTATTTTTGGGAGGAGGAATATATAGGATATAAGTGTAAAGTGCCAACAAATCTGGCCACCAGTTCCACACACCAAAACAAGGAAAAAATGTTCATATCAACTTAGATATTAAAAATTGGATGTGAGAATGTGAACTGGATGCATGTAGCCCAGGATACACCTCTTGAGAATACGGCAATGAAAGTTAGAGCTCCACAAAAGAAGAGAAAATTTCTGACTAGATGATCGACTATCAGCTTCTAAGGGAAAAATTATGCTCCATGGAGTTAGTTATCTGCCCGTTATAATGTTACGAACCATTTCTGAGAAATGTGATAATGTTCGACTTAACCATCGAGGAGATGTGTAAATACAATGCGCAGGTCACCAGAATTCAGGGCAAAAACATAATATAAATATAGCTAACAGGTCCTTTGAAAATGTGGCAGATTTCGAATATCTGCGATTGGCAGTAACAAATCAAAATCTGATTTATGAGCAAGTTAAGTGCAGAGTGATGACTGCCCCCATTCGGTCCAGAGCCGTCTTTCTTTTCGTCTGATGTCTAAAGACGCAGAAATTAGAATATACAAAATTGTAATTTTGCCTGTAGTTTTAAATGAGTGTGAAACTTGGTCTCTGGCATCAAGAGAACAACTGAGACTAAGGGTGTGTGAGAACAGGGTGCTTTTGGACCAAAGGGGGATGAAATGGCACTAGGTTCAACAAAACTGAGGAACTTCATAATTTGTACTCTTTGGCAAGTATAATTAGGATGATCATGTCAACGAGGATGAGATAAGCAGGGCATGTAGCACACATGGGGGAGAATATGAATGTATATGCAGGTTGGAGGATATTAAAATTGATTTCAGAGAGGTAGGATGGAGTGGTGTGGACTGGATTGATCGGCTGAAGACTGCGACCAGTAGAGGGCTCTTGTGAATACGGTAATGAAACTTCGGCTTCCATGGAAATTCTTGAGTGGCTGAGCGGCTGGCGGGTTTTCAACGTGGACTCAGCTCCATGGAGTTAGTTAGTTAGAGGACGATCAAACAAAATCACCAGCTAACATTTAGCATAGAATATCATTACCAAATTTCACCGGAATACGCTGACTGGGATATGAAAGGTGACGTCATCCACTAAGTGCAAGAAACGCTTCATATATCTCCATATTTGACAGCTTCAAATTGATTAGTGACTTATCTGGCACCTCAGATTCCGTCTCGATAAGCTCAAGTCAAGCGACACGTAGGTTCCTTTTTGCTGTGTGTTGGAGTGGCAGTATCGCCAGCTGCTAACTGCACCGAGTTCTGCTTCATGGAACCGAGTACTTCTGAAGCTAATAGCGAAACGTTCGGCCACTCAAGGAATTACATGCCTTTTTATGAAACTCCAAGGTTCATTGCCGTGTTAACAAGATCTAGCGACTTGCCTTTCCGTGAGCCAGATAAAACCTCACGCCACCATATTACATTACATTCTTCAAGATTTATTTTATTGTCATACGTAGGGGTCTATTATAAGGCGGGGTTTGGTTTGGTAAATAGATATACACCTTATACATTCACACAACTTGGGACTACAGACAATACAGCGCTATCACTATTCTACACACTTTGCAGTTCACCGCTGCACACGCACCAGGGCTCTAAGTCTTCACTAGTCGTATTCTGGCAACGGATTAATAACCGTCTCACTGTAATTTCAAATCATAAGTTCCGTGCGAAGACGGGGTCTAATATCTCCACCGTAGCCCTGCGAGTCATAGGAGGCGACGAAAATGGAACCCAGTGCCTGGGTTTATAACTGGGCCACCCTGTTCCTGGGTGAAATAAACGTGGGGACCTGGCCATCTAGGTTGGGGGAGTCTCGAGTCTGAGACAGTAAATTATGCCCATGAATCCCATGGGACTCGGACATGAGAATCACTGCGCTGGCGAAGGCCATCAGCAACTGTAAACGACAGACCCTTCCTCTCATTAGAGAGGATCTTGCATGAGGACTATAACCGCAAGTGGTCAGTTGGAAACAAATTGCTCTTCGTGAGTCTCAGAGGGTTTGTCGCCAAGAAGAACTGATAAGCGGTACACCGTCAGCCGTAAAGTGACTCTGACTCTGACTCAAACCACATATAAAGTCTTCTTTGCACCGCGGAATTCATTTTTTTTGCCATTCCTCCTCAATCATCTTCGACTGTCATCTCCAGAACGTGACCCAATTAAATTCTTCTGCTCCAAAGCTTATACTTCGGCAGACTGGGGTCCCGAAAGTGGACTATTCACTTCTCGACTACTGTGGTTCTGCACTCTTCTCTGCTCTCGTCTTGTGACTATGTCCTTTTATAACCACTCGGCACGAACCTCACGGAAAACACAGCCTCAACTGTTAAAGATGTATGTTTACTGATCCCTTACCTAGCAATGGATGTCCTACTGTCGCGTGAGCGTGTATTGTGGGAATGTGTTTACCGACCCGTTGCCTAGCAATGGGCATGCACATGACATTATTATTGTTGTTCCATCTACAGCCGGATCAAACTTCACAGAGAACTTCATGGGCTTTGGTTTGTCGCATTATTATTCCAATTTTGTCCATAATATTCTTTATCTGCTTCACCGAAGACGACCCTAAGCCTAATAGGAAAAGACTGAGAGAGAGATCACATGATTAAAAACCGCGGGCTCAGCCGACCGGGCTGTGAGTACCCGCTTATGGTCTCTTGCGCAGGGTCACGGTTCAAGATTTCAACAGATGAAGAGACATTATGATTTTGGGTACAACCCAGCACATACGGCAAAGCATGTGTACGAGGCAGTCCTTCCATTTGGGAGAATAAAATGAAGCAGTGACTGCATCCCGTGCTACGGACGACTGCAATCTGGCAGTGGGCCAACGGAGGTTAAGAGTCTAAGGTGGATAATGTAGGTTTAGATGCAGTTAGGGGGCAGCTTTACCATCGAAATGCCATAAGTTCTCATGGGGATATCTCAATTATAGGCTTATCTCAGGGGGAACGTCACATCCTCACTCAGATACCGCCCCAAAGGAAGAAAGGAGAAAGGCCAACCACTGGATAGATGGAGGGACCAGGGTTCGGAACGGGACCAAAGGACCGATCCTTTTGGATGATGTACATTTTATGGTATGAATACTGTTGCTGGTGTGTAGAAACTTCATGTGCTTAATCCTGTGGTGTACACAACCGTTGCTAAACAGCGACTTTATAAACAGAGACCGTCACTAAGTAACGCCTGCAACAATACAAGAACGGTGTTTTCCGTGGTCCGCGCCAAGACTGTTTCTCCGCAACGGATCAGTAAACACGTTCCCGCGGCAACGGACACGAACGCAAAAATACTGCAACAGTGTTTTCTATGTGGTCCGTCGCGACGAGTTATAACCATGACAGTCGGAGCAGTGAATAGTGAGTTCTACATTGCAGGCTGTGAAGATACCTGTATGAGTCCATGAATGAAGAATCTCCACTGTTAGAAGCCGTTTGCTAGGGAACGGCTGGTGAAGAGGGCAGGCTAAAAAAGGCTTAGCGGGTGCTGTAGTGATTTGTGAATTGTGGAGAGCAGCGGTGACGCTGTAACTGCTTATACATCTGAATCCTGTGTATAAGTAGTCAATACATCTATTTACTAAATAAACCTGGTCTACAATCACCCATAAATCGCGATAATATTGATATATGACACATACATTCGTATATTTTTGTTACTAACCTCAACACATACAACTAGGAAAAGTCTGCTTTGTGTATGCTTCTATTCTTTAAATTAATATTACAGTAACTTATCGTGAAATATATTTAACAGGTAACAGTTTTATTCTGGAATGGGCTATTCAGAATATAAGAAAATCAAAGCTCAGTCCCAATAAATAAATAAATGTATAATTGTAAATAATATACCGGGATATGTTTTCTCAAAATCATCACTTTTACAGCTATTATGCGCCACTGGCATGAAGTACGGGTATATGAATAAGCTGCTAAATATTATAAAAAGTCCGTTATGTGTGACTTCGGATTTTGGGATTCATCCTATCGCGTATTGAAGCATTTCCGCCTTTCCGGCATGTACTACAGTTGCACGTCAACCGCCTCTGACTTCACTCAACCTGGAGACCGTGATACATACGGCCAACTTAACTGTACCGCCTCAAACACACCCCGAAGATGGCGAATGCAAAGTGCGCCGAAAAGATGGAACTTAAATACCGAAAGCAGCGGAACCATAGAAGCAGACACAGACCGGAAGAGGCCAATGAAAAGAAAACTATTTTTGAGCCATAAAAAATGTCAGTTTTAAACACTTTTAGGCAACATAATTTCAGCACCTACTTCTTACTGTTCACCTCACAGCTTCAAGGGAATTTCAACTGCCTTTCAACAACAGGAGTAACGCACTGTAAGGTACACAAATTTATTTCGGGATCAGAACTCCGTGGTACAACATAAACCGTGTTGTTCTCAACATTACAAAATGCGCAGCATTAGTTGGAAATAAATACAGCGGGTTCCACCGCTATGAAACTTATCACCCGTGACCTCCGACCCCATAACCACCATAGCCACCGCCATAACTGCCGCTCCAATGTCCATGTCCTTTATATCCTCCAACTCCGTGCAAACCACCTCCGTGATGGCCACGCCCGAGCCAACTTCCACCATGACCACCTCCGTAATGACCACCATGTCCGCCGCCTCCGTAGCCACCACCTCCGTGGCCTCCGCCTCCGTATCCCCCACCTCCATGACCGCCACCTCCGTGGCCTCCATGTCCACCTCCGTATCCCCCACCTCCATGCCCGCCACCGCCGTATCCTCCACCTCCGTGGCCTCCATGACCACCACCACCACCACCGTGACCACCGCCGTATCCACCGCTTCCATGTCCACCGCCGTGGCCTCCATGCCCACCACCTCCATGGCCTCCGCCTCCGTGTCCACCGCCACCGTAGCCACCACTTCCACCTCCGTGGCTTCCGCCTCCGTGTCCGCCACCACCGTAGCCACCACCTCCACCTCCGTGGCCTCCGCCTCCGTGTCCACCGCCGTATCCCCCACCTCCATGGCCTCCACCTCCGGGTCCACCGCCGTATCCCCCACCGCCGCG